GGGTGAGACGTTGTTGAAACAAAAAAAGTTATGCATTCCATCACGTACATAAACAGTATCGTAATTCGCCAAGTGCAAATCAGCAAATTCGTAAAATTTTTGTTTATTTTGAACAATCCGGATAATCGAAAATCCGGATAATAGAGGTCCTACTGTATATAACATTATTAAAATGTAAGATACTTTCAGGTTTTAGTATATATGAAAATAGGGTGCATCTTAGATTCAATACATCATAATTAGTAATTTAGTGCCATGTGTTGTATTTTTCTGTCACTATTTCCATTGCATCATTTTAATTTTATTAGACCAATATTCATAATAGAAAATATTTAAGAGGTCAATTTAGCTCAATCTCATTAGTATATTACAGTAATGTTGTAAGTACCTGGATTAAAGTTCCAGAAAAAACTGCAGTACTCTTTCAAGAAATGGAGTTTCCTGTGCTTTAAACTGCAGTGAATAAGAGTACATGTTGGAAGATGTGAACATCAAATGCAGTGTTTGTTAGCACTGAAGGTATTTAGTTTTAGTTTACTAAAACTAAGGAACATGACTGAAACATTATTGTTGATTCAGAAGAGCCTAAAGACCAGTGCAAACTAGTCAATATCAAAGCAAAATAGTTGGATGTGACATCAAATGAAATTTGTTCAACTGGCATAGAATCAACCATCGACTCTACACTCTATATCATACTCTTTGATACAAAGTAGGCAGTCCCTTTGACAACTCTCAGATCCAAGAAGCTGAATTTTTCTGGCAACAATCAGATACATATGTACATTTGAAAGTTTGTAAGAAAGGAATGAGCTGTAGACCACAAACAAGTCTTGCAAGTGTTTATATTGTGATCTTTGTCTCGTTTTAGCAATAAATTTGCTATTCTGGAATTACGAAACAGAAAACTGTTTTTATAGAATTTTCATAGATGTAAAAATATAAATTATTTCATTGATTTATTGAAATTATAAAAGCTATGTTCATATCATGACAGTGAATTCATTCTCCATTAAGTTCCCATTTTTCTTTATTAAATTTCTGCCAAACAGGCAACAAATGGAAGCAGCTAAAGCTAACTTTAACAAATCATTGTTTCTGATTTTAGCCATTTTATAAACAAACTACTGAGCAATAGCTCAAAGGGTAGATAAAATGTCAAAGCCAAACAAAGATTAAATCAGGCTACATTACTGCTACTACTACTACTAACAATTATTAAATACCAGAGTAATTTGGCACAAGAGATAAGTGTTAGGCACTATCTCTATTACTTGATATTTAATAATTACAGTAGAGCATTGATTATCCGACTCAATTGGGGACTCAGGTTGGTCGGATAACTGAAAAAATCGGATAACCAAAAAGAAGGAAAAAATACGTTATTAGTATAGTATATTAGGATATTAGTATATCCCACGTAATTAGTTTATTAGTATATCGCTATTAACCAACTTTGCGTTGAATTTTCATTGATGTTTAGCCTAACAAATTTTTTTCTAAAATAATAATCATCGCTATTGTATTGTTAAAAATTACTTTTAAATTATTTTATTGCTCACGAAACAAACAACCACTCATAATTAAAAAATTAAGTCTTGTTTAAATATTGGCCTCCCTTCAATGGTCGAGCCGTTGATGCCAGCTAAAACATGCAAAAATTTAACAAAAATAATATTAAATTAGCCAAGACATAGCTAAATATTGTAATGCCACATCACTAGCGGACATTTGAAATTTGCCAATTAGAACGGTCGGTTAACCGATGTGACGGTTAATTGGGGGTCGGATAATCGATGCTCTACTGTATTAGTAATGATAATGCAGCCCAATTTTATCTGGTAATAGCTTGGATTTGATATGATCATCAGGCTTTAAGATGTTTATATATGTAAAGGAAATGCTTATTGATTTTTAGAACTATATCACAAGGGATAACATAGCCAAATTGTCAAAGAAAGACAGTCACACGCCCATAAAAATCGCCTCTGATGGCATATCGAAAGTGACAACATTAACTATTTTGCTCCAGACTGAACATGGTAAGTGAAGAGGTTTCAGACTTTGGAAAAGAGCAATATATTTAATTTATCTTATGTACAATAAATACAAAACAAAGTCAATAGACTGTTTTGTATTTATTGTACATAAAGTAAGTTAAATACATTTATTGTTCAGTATTTGCTGTCTTGCTCTTCCAAAAAAAATTCTTGAACAAACATTTAGAAATTAAGGTGTGTTTTAGATTTGAATAAATAATAATATTAGTATGTGTATGTTTTATATCTATTCCAGAAATTATTGTATTTTCAAGTATTTACATCATTGTACAACAAACACTATTATGTCTCATAAACTAATAAAAAAAATCTTGTGAATCAGCAATTAAAATAGAATTCTGTTTTCAGATGAAAAAATCTCATTTTAATTCATAAGCTTTCAAATTCCAATTACTTTAAAATATCTCTATTTAACCCGGGACACCTCAGATCAGTGTTTTCCAATCTTTTTTGTGCTATGCCCCACCTAAGACTTTCTAAAATTCTTATGCCCTCCCTAACATTTACAGCGGCTATACAGTTAACTTAAATTCTGGACGAGTCCATTTTCGAATTGGGAAACACTGCCTTAGATGCTCTCCATTATTCTTATATTTTATCCATTTTACCAACTTTTAATACATATTTTATGATTTTTGTTACATTTTAATAACTAGTAACAAAGTATAGGCTGCAAATGAACAAATTATATCATTATTTGCATACAACAATACATTTAATACATGCCTTAGAATTAATTAGCTCTAAACTAAATGTAAAATTCACCAATATCATAAATTTAATTAGTATATATATATATATATATAAACAAAAAAGACAACTATTTTCACTAAAACAGTAAAAAATTAAATTTATTCTAATAAACAAATACACACAGTTAAAACTAACTTAATGTAAAATTTATCAACATACGAAGGAATATTCGGAACAAAAACATTCAAGAATAACACCAGACACTAAAATTAACCAAATTCTAAATTTTTGTAATTCGAAGCATCTTATTAATCCAAATATCGGCCGGAAACGTAATCACCGGAGGAAAGGCGACCGTATTTCGGTATGTGTACACGTAATATAACAACAAAATGGCACAATGTCGAATAATGGGTATAATGTATTACAAAACCCATTAAAGCACTTACGTAATATTTTAAAAGTAAAGCAAATTTGCATATAAAATAACCAAATCACAAGGTATAAAATGGGCCCAAATTCAACTCCATCATTCAATTTCACGAAAAGTACAAATTATATTTTAAGGTTCAAGCACATTCTTAACAATAGGTCAAATTGTCAAAGTGAACTTTAAAAATCGAGAAAAAAAACATGAAGGGAGAAGGTAAAAAATTCTTGGAATTTTTCGAATTGGAACGTCTTTCGATTAAATTCGAAGGTTATTTTAAAAAATATTAAGTTACTTAATGCAACGTAACTGCTTATAAAATGACGTTACGAAGGTAAAAAAAGCGAAAGGTTAATGCAGTAAATTGGGAGAAGGATCTGGACAAGCCTTAGCAAATACTGGAAATTTGCATTAAAATACAAAACGATTTATTTTATATATTTAGAAAAGGAATGTATGGTTACGGGGTGGATAAATTTGGATAGGGTTAGAGAAGTTACGAACGAACAGAAGTGGAATAAAAATTGAAACTAGCGAGCAACGTCACGTCGTTGTATAGCCTATCCGTGCAACATAAGAGAAAAACATGGCGGGCGAAGTAACAACAATGTTCGACATCACTCGCACAAACGGACGTGGAAGGCGTAAATTGCTTTCTATATAGAAAATGATATGTCGTATCGATACGAAAATCGTTTGGAATTTATTTTATTAACATTTTAGTGTTGGTTAATCTGTTTTTTCCAATTATTGATGGGCATTTACCGCGGACATCCATTATGGCTACCGTCGTCACAACAGACGTCCAGGAAACTCTCTGGGGCGAAACACCGTCTGTGTCAAAATAAAGTATGTCAAAACCGAAAATAAATTGAAAATACCCTTTTGAGATGTTATGTGTCGCTTGTTGGTATCCTTGCAATGCCGGATGGTTCTTGCTTTCCATGATTTACCTCGATTCGAGACGTTCTAGACAAAGCCTGCCTTAAACACAGACATAGGAAACGAAGCTTCGTTTCACTTCCATACAGCGTTGGCACGGTGCTCCCTCATTGGCCGCGCCCGGTCACATGACCCCAGTCATTTATTGCCTCCGCTCTTCGAAATATGCTTTTTTATTCTATATTTTCGCGTTCGGACTTTAGAAAATTGTCCTTTTTATTTAAATTTCTCCCTTATAGTCCATTAGCGCGATTAAAAATGTCGAGATACGGTTGTGTTGGGGGTACGAAAAAAATTATTGTGGAGCCAAAATAAATCGGGAGATTAGAAACGATAGGCGTGAATATTTATTGGGATTATTATTAAGAAAAGGGAAGTTATTGGATGTACAAAGAGAGTTGATAGTCCGAACCAGCTGGAAGCCTGTCTTCCCTTCCCGACAACCGCGAACCGCTACGCATCGTTCTGCGCATTCGGCAGAAACGCCTCTTCGCCATCTGACGGAGAGGAAAGTTTTCATTTATTTGTCTTTATTACCTTTATATTTTTGAAAAATTCAAAACTATGAGGATCTGTTTAGTTTCTAAAATAAATTTGATTGTTTAAATAAAAATTTTTACATATTTCTTCCATTGGGTTATCAAGTTTTTATTATTTTTTTAAAGTACTTATGATCCTTTGTCACGTCTTGTTTTAACTTTTATTTTCTCTGAATAAGTTTTTATTTTCTTTTAAAAATATAGTTTTTATAGTTAAATTTAGTACCTTATTTTCAAATTTTAAAAAGTAGTTAAGATTTTCAATTAAAACGGAATTTTCAAATACGGATGCCAATTTGGAATCTCTTAACTTCATAAAAAAAAAAACCTAATATTTAAAAACTCTAATAAATTTTTATATGCTATTCAATCGCAAAAACTATTATAATAAACTTGTCTCAACACACAAGTAATTTTCTCTAATTTTGAAGTTTCTCGGCTTAGCGCAACTGAATAAAAGATCCTTTCATAGCGCCGCTGCAAACAAACTATGGATGATATGAAAAAAAAAAAGAATTAAACTAAAGAAAATTTATAATTAGAGTTCATTTTTATATCTTTAATACTGACTAAGTAGTTTCCATTAATTAAGATAATTCTAATGGAATTTATTGTTTAAATGTTAAAATCGGCAGTTTATATAACGAAGTTCCTTAAATTTAAGACATCTTGATGAAAGTTGCTTTAACGATCTATCAAAAATCGCCGAAAATGATACATTGTGCCACCCTTAAATGAAGAATTTGTGTTAGTTAATTAATATTTGGACATGGTCTTTGGAAATCGAACTCGGACCATATTGTCATCAATAAGACGAAAGATTTTTTGTCTATGTTAGACGATTGCTCAGTGAAACAATGATTTGTTTACATAAAACGGGCTTACTTAATTTGCAGAAATTTTAATTAATTTAAGTATGAATTGAATTATAGTTAAGTACTGTAATAAAGTAAGGAATCAAGGTTAATAGCTATTTTATTCATCTTTACGTGTGAGAAAAACTATCAAAAATCATTTCAGTTAGCTTCAAAATGGCAGAGAAAGATGCGTGAAGTATTTATAAACACTTTTAAGCAATCAAACTAAATAAGTATAAAATTCATTTACACTTATAATTCAAAGATTTAAAAAAGTATATTTTATTCGTTTAATTTTTTTGACATATTCTATAAATAATATCAATTTATGTTCGAAAATATTGAAATTTATGAAATAATTCGACCTCAATTTTTAAATCGCAGACTTAAATTAACACATTTCCTGTGGTCTCGCTGACTGACTGTCCTTCCTTAATTTCGAGAACGGAGTTAGATAAATGAAAATCGAGACGAGGTATGGAAAGGTCAGGAGCCGGAGTCCCAGATGAACTGTATACTAACTTACGTTAAAAACCGAAAGTTCCTATATAATATTCACTATTAACATTGCATTTAATAAACTGCATAAATATTAATCTAATCCAAGGCCGGGTTTATACAAGGGATTTGTTAAAACTCCTTCCACCATGTGGACGCTAAGAGGATCTTTTCAACAAGCTCAATATGGGTTCGGGCAGGCCACGATCCATAGAGGGATAGGCTGTCATCCTAACCGCTCGGCCATTTGGTTTACGTAGAGTACACCACGAATAACTGTGCTAGGAAAGAAATGCTGGGAAGTTCACGATGTTTGTGAGCAGGAGCGTATTAAATTTTTGTCAGTTAAATTACCCTTTAACTCGGTTTCATTTTCTCAATTTTCAACACTATATTCTGGCTTTGGTGAATTAATCGATGTGTTTTGTCTATTCACGAAAAGTCTGGTACCAAATAAGCTACAGCTTAGGGCCTCGTTCCATTTCAAAAAGTTGTATAGTGTTCATTATTTCATTGTGAAAGACACGGCCGTCGAAAGCAAGCTGTCGACGGTCCTGGTGAAAGGGGATCTCTTGTACAGTACATTAAGACTTTCAGACACAATAATAAGTCTAAATCCGGTTCTGCTGTAATGAAATATGCAAAGTTAGTTAAAAAGGGTGACAACGGGGATATTCAATCTGGATTCTTATACAAAGAGCACATAAGTTTTGTATAGTATATAAGAAAGTAATATAAATAAAAGGTTTTTTTGTAAATGGTGATTTTATTTATATATATTTTAGTTTTTCCGAGAGGAGAGAGATCTTACATTGGCAGATTGGATTGAAGGTATGAGGCAACGCAACTCTTGGGCAATCTGCTAAGGGTGGGTGCCTCCCGGGAAGACTTTCCACGAGAAATAGCCCGTATTTAGGTGATAGGCACGTGGATAAAAACCCGAAAAACCCCACGTAGTCACCCCACGTTGGTCAGGCTTGTGGTTTCACCAGTGTTCACTAGTTTCATCCAATTGTGGGCACTCCACACTGATGACTTACCAGGCCCTATCTCCTCTTTCTCAGGCTCTGTCAGTATAGATTTATATAATTTATGAAATTTTAAAGACTCGAAATATTTTTTCATTATTGTATGAAACATCCGTTCGAATCATTTTACAATATAAACAGGATGTTTTAACGTTATTAATTTTTATGTCGATGGAATTTGTATTTATTTACATTTTAAAATAATATTATTAAATTTATATTTATGGTTTACAGTAATTTAAATAGAAGTTTAAAATGTANTTTTTTTATATATATAAAAGACTGTTTTTCTAAGTAATCTAGAATCTAGCTGCAAGGACCCGCTTTGTTTAGTTTTTAAAAAGTAACGATAGTGAAGATTAAGATAATTACATTATAGCCAATCTTACCCGTTTTCACAGAATGCAAGAATTTGGTCCCCCATTTCCAGACTAATTACAGACCTGGTCCTGATTCTATTTCTGGACGTCTCCTGTTCACGTCAAGTCAAATGAACTATTTTCAACGTTTCTGGAACATTTACAATCATTCTATAATCAAACCAATATTCAAATTTTATGTTCGAATTTAATTTGAATATTGTTCGAATTTGTTCGAACAAATTCGAACATCATTGAATTAAATTCGAACAAAACATTCGAAATAGAAAGCCACTTTCAACCACTTTCAGCCTCATATCTCCCACACCCTTATAGCTATCGAGACGCAACCCCCCTGGTGCACGAATGGAGACTTGGGGCTACTACCACATACAAACACCATTCACGTGCGATGTGTAGTTTTGGCAGAAAAGTGAAATATAGGGACATACATGTCCATTTATATATATAGATTAGCAGATGAGCCTGGCATTGCTCGGGAAAAAGTATCAATAGCAAAAATTATTATTAGATTACAGCCGATCTTACCCATTTTCACCGAGTGCAAGAATTAGGTACCCCTCTTCCAACACTAAAAAATTTTTAGATATCTGCTTACCACACTGGGATAACAATAATTAAGACTCACTTCAACTGCTAGCTGATGCATAGTACAACTAAGTGATGAATAATAAACGTTTTTGTAACTCTTTCTGGGTTCTTCTTCAGGTTTAGTAAATTCGAAAAATAAGCTGGATTTTCCAGAATCATTCATAAAAATAAATTTGAAGACGAAGAGTTTGAATAAAGCAAACNTGTGTGTTTTTAAAATTTTATTTAAATTATTTAATAATGGAATGTAAAGATCTAATAAATTCTTTTTCATAATAGGAATTTTGTACCTTCACGTCGCTCTTCTCCTGGTACCTCAGGACCTAATTCAAGTAAGAATATAGCTAATATTCAGCATGTTTATTTAAAATAAGTTGTTCATTTTTATTTTACATTTTTAGATTGTTTTTATTATTCATTTTTTATTTCAAAAATAAATGCAAGTAAAATAATATACATACATATGTGTGCATATTATTTTTAAATTACTAACACATTTTGGCATGTGATATGCATTCTTTTCATTTACTTTTTGCATGGTTTGTTCCCTGTTGCATGTTTTTGCAGATATACCTGCTTATGCACCAGGCATGTTTCCTGGTCATCCTTCAAATTATCATCCTGGAATACCTTATAATACTCACGTTACCCAATCAAACACTGGAATGACTTTACCTTATGTATCTCAAGGTAAGATATGTACAGAAATAAACTGTATTTGATTGTGTTGAGATTTTAAGTTTTAATATTTAAAGAAAAATGATATTTTTGATGGCTTTAAATATATTAGTTGAAATTATTCTCTGTGAATATTGTGTGTTGCTTACCAAAAATATATATATTATTTTAATGCATTTTTAATATAGGCTATTGCATTTCTTCTCCAAATATTTTTCATATCCCAAATCCTGCTCCCACATTGCCTTATCCTACACTTTCCCATGTACCTTTCCTCTTTACTGTTGCATCTAATACTGCTAGAACTGCTTTTTTGTATAATAATCCTAAAGGTAGGATTATATTAAAATATAAAAAGAAATCATAATTATTTCAGTGTCATATTATGTGTGTTTTTCAAATACTGATATATAATGATCATCTCAGATTTTATTAATTTAAACTAATTTCTTGATTTTGAAGGTATTGGAACATGGCATCGAACTCCAGATCCTATATTTATTTCCAGTCCACCAAGGGCGCAAAGATTATTACATTCAACAACCTATATCAAGTAAGCTAAATTATCATTTTAATATAAAATAACATATTGTAAACATAGCTGGGAAAGGATAATTTCTTGGCCATGAAAATATATTTTGTTTTGAATTTTTGATTCAGATGAATAAAAGATTCAAAAAAATTAAGTAGGTACAGTAGAGCTCCAGAAACTCAACTCTTGATAACTGAATATTCCATAAGATTTATCCTAACATTCAAAGAAGGGGAAAAAAAAAAAAAATAATAATAATAATACATGTGATATAATTTCGATCTCTATAATATAACACTAGTATAAGGTTTCCGACAGGGTGCAAAAATGTCAAGAGGGTTGAGCAGTCATGAAGGGTTGTATGTGGGCGATCAGCACTGAGACAGACTCTATGGTTACAAGAAACCATTTATTTGACACAAAAGAAGCATACAAGATTTCCATGATCTTGGAAGTTCTACATTGGCAACAGCCTCTGGGTCTTCCTCTCTCCTTTCCAAGATAGTTCCATTTCGAAGGAGTGTCCCTGGTTTGCGAATGACCAATTCCATTGATGACTCTGGGACGATTGGTCTACTTCCGTTGATGGAAAGATGTCGATCCGAGGTCGGGAGATGAAGATGGGCACGAGACACACACACTTGGAACTTTCGGAGATCTGCCACTTGGAACTTTCGGGAGAAGAAGCCATCATGTCCTTGAATTCTCAGATTTTATCCATTTTCCTCCAATTTCACTTTCCGATTGGTCTCCTCTCGTCATCTGGTGACAATTTGAAACGTTTCGGGGGCATGGAAGAGGTCAAAATCGAAGTTCAATTTGATTCCCATTCGAAGATAGTCGATCTTCGTTTTTCCATTGTTTTATTGTTTAAAAGTTTGCATCATTTTCATTAAGAAAAACTATTTCTAACTTCTATTTTTTTTTCTAAAAGAAAAAGATAATTTTGTCCTTAAACATAAATGATTTTAACACGAATTTCAGTGAGGTTTGGACCTGTCCAGAGCCTCACACTAGGATCAAATAAGTTATTGTTATTCACTGAAGACACTTGATAATAGCTCAGTTCTTGTGCTAACAAAGAGCATAACCCTTTTTCCAAGGTGCCACTGCAAAACACCACAATGCAAATTTCACAAACTCAAAAGTAGCCATTGTATAGTCAGTATATTTTTAAAATTAAAATTTAACTACAAATAGAAATATTCATTATTGGTTAGAACATATATGAATTTGCACATGTGGTACCTTTATGTGAATTTTGCTATTTAGACTAGCATCATCATTATACAGTAAACTCATCATTTTCAGTATGTTGTCACTTCAGTCCACATTAAGTTCTACTTTACTAAGTTTTTGTTTTTTTAAACAGCAGAATTCTACAAAATTTACTTTTTACTGTGTACTGCAAATCCTTATCAATATAAATCATTTCAAATGGCTGAAATCCATTTTATAGTTTTGTATGAACTCCTATTTTCTTCAAATGAATATCGTTTACAATAAACAGAATTGCAAAAAAGCAAAATGTTAGTAGCAAGTTACCTTAAAAATGAATTTTTTTTAACTATTTTAGTAAAAATTAATATTTATTCTTTCTCAGTTAAATTATTCTTCTGGATGACAATACAATAGATTTTTAGTTTTGAAACTCCTCAACTTATATTGTGCTTTTTGTTGCCATGACAATATGAAACAAGTTAGTAGGTAAAAATCTATCTATAGAACCCATTCAACGCATTTCCGTCTGTGTAACGGTATGCCAAAAACGGGCACTAGAGGCGCCCTAGCGATGATTTTAAATTAACAATAAATTATTTTTATTTGTAATAGGAATTTATTATTTATACCACGGAATGGTATAAATAATTATTATATGCCTTGATTAACCTTGCGCTGCACATTTACAACATCCCGTGACTTTTAGTGAATGTTGTGCATTGACTCACGGGGAATTTGTTGAAAAAATGGTGGATAGATTTAAAATCGAGGTTTACCAGCGAAGGTAAATAAACAAATTAAACTATTTTAAAGTATTTATAGAATGTTTAATAGGTAGGAATCTAGATCCGTATGACGTGATTGAGACTTTAACAGAGCTATAGAGCATATTGATAGGAATAAAAAAGTGAAAGGAACCGTGCCTCATGGGAATTTGTAAAGAACGCCCACTAGGGGGCATCCTGGGCTACTAGCGTTTTTATAAATAATTTAATTTAAATTAATTTTTTTTTAAATTATTCTTTTAGAACATGTAATACTTAAAATTTAAATATTGATGTTTATTTTGAAATGTCTTTATATTACATTTAATCAGTTTAAAAAATTGAAAACGTCTAAATAAACAGAAAAAAAGAATTATTATTTTTTTATTAAAGTTATATTAATTAGTAAATGTAAAATTGGATTATCATATATTGATTAAAAGAGTTTAGAAAAAACAAATGTTGAATTTGACAGCATAGTTCCTAGTCCCATAATGATTCAAATTCACATATTCAAAATAGATCTTTGCTTGTAAGCAACAGCCAGAGTTGAAAGTTTTTATATATTCGTTCAATGATTCTCTCCTGGAACTTGTTATAGTAACTTAATAGTTACATTTTAGTAAAACATAAAAGTGGCTCATCATGTGTATTTTATGAAATAAAAACGATTTAGGCTAAATTTCTGGATCTTTACTAATTTATACTATTTTAAAATACTGTATATAAGTTAAAATATATTTATTATATGTTTTGGAACAAACTAATTCTAATAGTAATCAATTACTGATAACAATATGTGTGTTTATAATAATTCTACTGTATTTTTCATTTGCATTGAAATATCTGATAGTGCAATTAATATTAATATAATAGAAATTTAAATTTATTATCCATATCAAAGAAATTCAGTGTTAAATAATTAGATAGAAATAATAATACAAATTAAATATATTTTTTATTTTTCTAAATAAGAAAATTGAATATATTGAAAGTATTGGAATAAACGAATAAATATTTTATATTTTTTGTTTAGGTATATTGAAGGTTTACAAGCAGAAAATAAGCATATCAGTAATTGGGATGCCCAATTGAAAGCAACTAGAGAAAACACAACTCTGAGTGATGTCAGTCGTCTTCCCATTCACTGGTTAGCCAATGGAGCAGGAAATCACGGAAATGTTGTAAATGCACTGTGGGCATTAAGAGACTTTATGCTGAAAGATGCGTTAAATATTTCCAAAATTTTATAGTTGTTTAAATCATATCTGTTTATTTATATATCAAGCCATCCTTTGTGACTAATATTTCCATTTCATATTGCTCTCAATATTTGATGGAAAATCAAAAACTTTGCTCTGAAAGAAGCAAATTATTTCACTTTTTAAAAAAATCATCTGAAAAAACTCATTTCATACTTGTATTTTAATGTCAGAATCTCAGTTCCTGTTTCTATACGAAGAATAATTATAAATTGTAGCAGTTGTGTCATATTTCATTTGTTTATCTCCATTTTATATGTACAAGACAAATAAATTGTTGATTTGTATAAATGTTTCCAAAAATTTTTGTTTTATAGAGTAAAGATTTGATTATGCAAGAATAATATAAACATATTTGTTAAAGATTGTTTGAAAGTTATTTAGGGAAAAACTTTTAATTAATAAATACCAAATTCTGTTTTTTTTTTATATTTTTGAATATTATAATGGATGACAGAATTACTTATACAATAAACCAAATATAATTTGATAGTCAGTTATATATCTAATATACTAGATTGTTTTTGAGCTAAAATTGAGTTAATATTAAATAATTAAAATTAAAGACTGGCCTAAATATATTACAGGAAATCCTCATTAATTCGAACTTGGATAGTTCAAAATTCTATTAGTTCATAACTGTACTTTTGTCCTATCCAAGAATATAGAGATTTATATGTAAAGGAATTTGATTAGTTTGAAATATGGCTACTTTGTAATTCAAAGTGAAAATTCTGTCAAAACTGTGATACAGATACGTGAGATTGGGGTTGGTAGAACTTTGCCCACTGTCCATGATGGCTATATTTGTACTATTAAAGGGGAGACTAGTAGATTATAAAATCTTTGTCTCCAGTCAGGTCCTGACACCAGCTAGGGTAATCAAAATTTCACACCCTAAACTCACGATTTCTTTAATCTAAATAGATCTGAGTGGCTGATCTAATTCTTTGTTTGTTTGAGATATTCTAATACTTAAAATTCTAAAAATAAATGTAATTTGACCGGAAATGTCGAATAATTTCTTTTAATTCGTGAAGTAAATTGCGCCAACTAATGGCAAAATGGGTAAAGCCCATAGAATACTGGTGGTTGGTCGCAGAGTCGTCGAGATGGGAGAGATAAAAAAATTTTCCTCGGACCGAAAGAAAACATAGAATCCACAGTGGCTCCTATCCCTAAAAATTAATATTAGTTTTACTAATAAAAAATATAATCTTTAAAACCGCTTTTATTAATACAAAAACATTCTACGAAATTCATTTGTTCAAAAAACTGACAAAAGGATCCTCTAAAGGGACAAAGGGAGCAGCTCTACTCTAAATATCATACAAGCTCTGATGGCCTTGGTTAGTCGAGGGTTCGCGCGCCTCACCATTGCAGCATGGAGTCTTCGAGGTTTTCTTCACCGCACCTAAACAGGAGCCAGGTTTCCGGGAGGCACTCCCATTGGCAGATTGCCATCCATTGCTTTGCTTTATGCCATCAATCTAATCCAATTCAATCAAAGTGCTATTTTTTCAATAAAATTGTTTAATTAATAGGACATCAGCTATTCTCTATAAGCTATCTAATTCAAATATATTCCAGTTGTTCAGAGTATGAAAAACTCTATTGAAGCAGGTTAAGATATCGAATTCTTATGGAAAAATATTTAAACCTTTTACAAAATTCTAAAAGAAGAAGATTAAGGAATGGCTTCAGAGATAAGATAAAAGAATTGAAAATCTAGTCCTGGAGCCAAATATTTCTCTCGCAGTCGTGTATAAAAGCCATGATGTTCCACTTAATCAACATTAATAAGTCATGCAACATCAAAGACACGATAAAAATCAAAAATTTATAAGGCCGTAACGTAAGAAATATATTTATGACTCGTCAAAGATTATTACTTATGTCATTAGGTTCACATGATATGCCTTACATATGTGAATTGTCTGGATATATTCGCCTTTCTCAGCTCCTCTGGCAATGGACTTTTAATTAATGGTATACTGACCTTTATTTTCTTATTTTGGTGTTACACGAGTGAAGAAGACTCAGAAAACTTTGATATTAGCTTGTGTGAGGTGATTAGGAAAGTGAGGACGGGAAGACTTTTATATAACTTCATATAAAACCTACATCACAGGATATTGGATACCATACAAGGTATGAGATTCTATCTATCCACCTATCTATCACTAAATTCCTGGAACGAAGCGTATAATATTTGAGTTTCTAAATGTTTTAGGGCCTTAGTCTTCTGCCAAATGGTCTTGCAGCCCTAGAGTTTCTCTGTGCCTAAAGCTATCACTGAAAATGATATCTAAAGATATAAATCACGGGTAGACAAACCTTGTAACGATGGAAGCCATACACCGCCTATCAAAAATATGTGAGATCAACATTCTATATTGGAACGGTATAGAATGTTGATCTCACATATTTAACATATACATACATATAGTAAGCTATATATTTCCTCTACATACATGCATACGTAAGGAGATAGTATCAAAGTCGGACCCCTACTGTAATAAGAAAGGTAGGAAGGAGCCCGATACACGTGACCAACAATAAGTACCTAGAAGAGTCAAAGGTGGGGTGACCAAACTGCAGCTCGCGAGCCGCAGTTTGGTCACCCCTGATATAGATGATAAATACATCTACAGTTAGATTATTATTTAAGAAAAGCAAGAAAAATATGTTTACACTACGAGTAAGCCTTATCACAAGAAGTTTATTAAATTTTTGGTCAAATTTTATTATTTTAGAAATATAACACTTTTTAAAATGTCTTGATCTTTGAGAGACTGGTTACAAGTAGAATTAGTTACAATTGTATTAAAGCATACTTGCAGAATCAAATTATTACAATAATATTGATTTTGACAAGTATGACGTAAATAAAAATTAATTAAATTTTACGCATCTTCGAATATCCTTTATATATGCTAATAAATAACCCATATCATGGTAAACAAATATTGCTATTATCGAAATAAAGTACTTTTGTTCTAAATTTGGATCGACAATTTCAAATATTTGTGTAGTTTTTTAAAATTTGAGGTTAATTACACTCAGTCAAAGGTAAGAAGGCCAACAAAATCATTTGGTGTGGGTCACGGACACAGAAGAATCACAAAATTTAGCTTATTAAATAATAAAAAACACGAGAAAAAGTATTATCAGTGGTGAAAAATCCGCTTTTCTTTATTTTATTTATATATTTTTGTCTTTCGAAGAGAATAAGTTATATACTATAATTTATAAGAGGAAGTAATGATTAATAACATCCGTGTAGACCCTCTCAGATTTGAGAGGTTATGGTTGAATGGGATGCGGCAACGCAACACTTGGCCAAGGTCAAGGAGGGTGTCTCCCGAAAGGACTCTCTATGGGAAAGTGGCCCCTATTTAGGTGAAGATAACCCAAAAAACTCGTTGGTAAGGCGCGAATTCACGACCAACTATCAGAGTGCTCGGAGTTTAATTCACTCGGTCCTCAGGCCACTTATCTTTCTGAGCCTCCAGCATATCAAAAACAACACAGCTTTAAAAAAATAAAAATAAAAAAATAAAGGTTGTTAAAGAAATGCAATGAGATGGGTAATTTATAACATACTTTTTTTAAGGTATTTTATACGTAAGATTCTATAGGCCTATAGCTGAAATGACCCAGCTGATCTGCATATGGTAGGGTCTACATTCATGTAGGCTAAATGTGATTATTAACACTGACAATCTTTGGTTTCCTTCCTATAATTCGAGAACTTTTTAAATATATTTTAATATTCTCCCATTATCATAACTAGTCAATATATTGTATATTAGCTATCATTGCCCCATATCTGATACCTATTTTCCTTTTTAAACTTACTACAAGCCCGAATGGATTTTTAGGAGGAAGTTAGTGATGCAATGTATTGAATTACATTGGATAAAAATACATGATTACTAAAACTAAAAGTAAATTAAGTCGATTTAGGATATTTTAAAATGTCTATAAAAATCAAACCGGAGTAATTGGCTTTCATATATATATGTTTTTTGGCATTTCTTGGGTAGCTTGTGTAGAGATAGAGAGCCAAGTTTGGAGGTGGAGCCTTAAGCTGTGACGTAGAAACCTTTCCCTCTCTACTCAATAAATTTAAAAGCGCGAGACTCTTATAACTGTGTAAACCCTCCCGTAGTTACAGAAGTATTGTACTACAAAGGAAACACGGTTTACAAACTGTAGAACATTGAATTCAAGTACTTTGGTCTCTGAAATCCTACACAAAGTCTACCGTGTTAGATATTGTCACCCCTCTCTAGTCGATCAATATCACTCTTTCAAAGAGGTCAACTTATTTACCATATTGTATTTTCTTATTATTAATTTATTGTAAGGATAGATATACTTGATAAATCATAAAATGTTAATTAATATTATAAAATTCTTGATATCTTTAATTAACATTATGCACGGTGTCACATCGAAGTCTATTTCAAGATTATCTTATCATACGATTCTATCTTCAACATTGATCTTCAATATCATCTGTATCTTCTTGTAGATAAGATTGGCATGCAAATATTTATCTTCTTCGTGTAGATGACATTAATAAACTAATTTTCATCTATGTTCATTGGGGTTTATGGGGTAAGAAACAGAAAGAGATTTTCTTTCATTTCTGTTTACTAAAACTTAAAATTTTTCGAATTTTTAAGTCTTTATCTATTGATAAACAGTAAATATTTAGAATATATGGTTTATATTAATCAAATACAAATTTTAATTTAATAATTCGAAACAGTAAATATCCGATGTCTTCACCGTACTACTTCCGCCATGATGCGGTTTCGTTTCGAATACGATATTATATGACTTTAACCTGAATGTTATTATAGTTTAATGCATATATGTAAAATATTAAGCAATGTCTCTTAAAATAATAATGATGTATATTTATAACGATTCAAAATATTTAGAAAAAAATTTTAAGTTTTACAATAGAAGAAAATGCGCGTCGCGTCGCGTTGACGGTATCGCTACGCGACGCGAACGAAAAATAAAAACGCTTATAAATCCCGTCTCATGAACAGAAACGATGTGAAAATTAACGTGTGTTATCATAAGGTATGTTGCGAATTTTTAGTACAAAAAGATTTATATCTTTCCCTTCAGTTATAGCGGGTATAAACGATGATCATTAACACGTTGAGGTTACTTAAGTAATCTTTATCACAGGAAATCTCATATTTACAAGACACAGACAGGAACACTATACTATCCCTTGTATGATAAGGGCCTTTACATTTAC